GGGATCTTCCCTGATACCAGCCATACGGTGGAGGGAGGGATAAAGTGATCATCCCAGATAATTGATGGCAGGGGGGGTTAGTTTGGTATCTGCAGGGATCTTCCCTGATACCAGCCACACGGTGGGGAGGAGGGATAAAGCGATCATCCCAGAGAATTGGATGGGGGGGGTTAGTTTGTTTTCTGCTGCTGCAGGTTAACAGGAAAACCACAGCACTCTACGGGCTCTGCTTGGTATGCGGGAAAGGAGGGCACAGAAGCTGAAAGACAATGGCTTACCATGGCCGCATACAAGCCGAATTCTGTTGCCCGGACCTGCATCTGTGATCTCTAACACCAAAGCCACAGGCACTCAATATTAAGATGCAAAATGCGACCTTGCACTGAAATCACTTGTGCTATGTAATGTGAATAGTGTTGTTCACCGTGAAAGAGGATAAGCATTGTTCTGTAAAATGTATCTTTTTAAAAACTTCTCTCCTTTTTTCCCATCCCTCCAGCAGCTGCAAATTTTTCAAGCCTCCCTCCTCCATCCCGAAGGCTATCTCAGAAAAAAAGGAAAAAGAGGACACGAGACGAGATGTTCTCGGAAATCATGGAATCCACCCGCAATGAAAGAGGTCATTTGAATGAGTGGAAGGACATGGTCTCAAAGTACAGGAAAGATGCCAGTGAACGTGAGGTCATGAGGGACACTCGAGATGAGAGGTGGCAGGCTGCAACGCTGGGGCTGCTGCGTGATCAAACGGACATGCTCTGGCGTCTGGTGGAGCGTCAGGAACAGCAGTAGGATCACAGAGTGCCACTGCAGCCGCTGTATAACCTCCCTCCCCCCTCACCATGTTCCATAGCCTCCTCACCCAGACGTGTAAGAACGCGGGGGGAGAGGCTCCGTGCACCCTCCCACTGCACCCTAGTGGACAGCCCAACCAAAAGGCTGTCATTATACTGAATTTTTTTAGTGGCCTTTTCCTTCCCTCCTATCCTCATCCCAAACCCCACCCGGGCTACCTTGTCAGCTCTCTCCCTATGTTTATAATCAATTAATAAAGAATACATTATTTTTAAATGATAGTGACTTTATTTCCTTTGAAAGCAATCTGTGATCGAAGGGGGGAAGGTGGTTTGCTTACAGGGAATGAGTCAATCAAGGGGGCGGGTTTTCAACAAACAGAACTTTCACACCGTAGCCTGGCCAGTCATGAAACTGGTTTTCAAAGCTTCTCTGATGCGTAGCGCTTCCTGGTGTGATCTTCTAATTGCCCTGGTGTCTGGCTGCGCATAATCAGCAGCCAAGCGATTTGCCTCAGCCTCCCACCCCGCCATAAAGATCTCCCCCTTACTCTCACAGAGATTGTGGAGCACACAGCAAGCAGCAATAACAATGGGGATATTGGTTTGGCTGAGGTCTGAGCGAGTCAGTAACGTGCGCCAGCGACGTTTTAAATGTCCAAATGCACATTCTACCACCATTCTGCACTTGCTCAGCCTGTAGTTGAACAGCTCCTGACTCCTGTCCAGGCTGCCTGTGTATGGCTTCATGAGCCATGGCATTAAGGGGTAGGCTGGGTCCCCAAGGATAACTATAGGCATTTCAACATCCTCAACGGTTATTTTCTGGTCCGGGAAGTAAGTCCCTTGCTGCAGTAGTTTAAACAGAGTAGTGTTCCTGAAGACGCGACCGTCATGAACCCTTCCCAGCCAGCCCGCGTTGACGTTGGTGTAACGTTCCTTGTGATCCACCAGTGCTTGCAGCACCATTGAAAAGTACCCCTTGCGGTTTATGTACTGGGTATCCTGGTGCTCCGGTGCCAAGATAGGGATATGGGTTCCATCTATTGCCCCACCACAGTTAGGGAATCCCATTGCAGCAAAGCCATCCACTATGACCTGCACATTTCCCAGAGTCACTACCTTTGGTAGCAGCAGCTCAGTGATTGCTTTGGCTACTTGCATCACAGCAGCCCCCACAGTAGATTTGCCCATTCCAAATTGATTCCCGACTGACCGGTAGCTATCTGGCGGTGCAAGCTTCCACAGGGCTATCGCCACTCGCTTCTCAACTGTGAGGGTTGCTCTCATCTTGGTATTCTGGCGCTTCAGAGCAGGGGAAAGCAAGTCACAAAGTTCCATGAAAGTGCCCTTACTCATGCGAAAGTTTCGCAGCCACTGGGAATCATCCCACACCTGCAACACTATGCGGTCCCACCAGTCTGTGGTTGTTTCCCGGGCCCAGAATCGGTGTTCCACAGCTATAACCTGTCCCATTAACAGCATGATCTCCAAAGCGCCAGGGCCCGCGGTTTGATAGAATTCCATGTCCTCATCACTCTCGCCGCCGCGCTGCCGTAGCCTACTCCTTGTCACCTGGTTTTTCAGGTTCTGGTTCAGCATAAACTGCACGATAATGCGTGAGGTGTTTACAATGTTCATGACTGCTGTCTTGAGCTGAGCAGGCTCCATGCTTGCCGCGATATGGTGTCTGCACTGTTCACCCAGGAGAAAGGCGCAAAACGGTTGTCTGCTGTGGCTTTCCCGGAGGGAGGGGGAGGATATACCCAGAACCACCCGCGACAATGTTTTTGGCCCCATCAGGCTTTGGGATCGCAACCCAGAATTCCAGTGGGCGGAGGAGACAGCAGGAACTATGAGATAGCTACCCACAGTGCAACGCTCCGGAAATCGACGCTAGCCCCGGTAAGTGGACGCACACCGCCGAATTAATGTGCTTAGTGTGGCCGCATACATCCGACTTTATACAATCTGTTGCCAAAAATCGAATTCTGTAAATTCGGATTAATCCCGTAGTGTAGATATACCCTGAGTGTTACAAGGATAGAATGAGCCACACCCCAACCCACCCTCCCGTGCACCCTTGTAAGGGGGAAGGTGGAGTCATGTTAGCCTCTCCCCTTGCACTTAGGTAGTGCAGAGACTAGTATTCAGGATGGCCATGTGTAGGTGCACAAGAGTTGCAGGGAGAAGAGGGGTGCAGTAGGCCACAATCTTGTGCTAGATTAAAGGGCAAATAAGGGGGCTCTTTCATGGTTTTGTAGGAGGTGCCGAGGACCGGGGGAAATCCACAATACTGTACAGTGGATGGCCTGTATAGGGTTCTCAATCCCTTCAGTGTAAATGTATTTTAAGAGGCAAGCAAGCAAGCAGATTTTTTTCAAACATTTCACATCTTGCCAAGTTTCATATCACTAGCCACTTTTAAAAATTATTATCCTCATCATCCTGCCTGAAAATGTAGTACAGGAGTTATTAGACTATGGGCTTCAAGCCCTCGTGGAATCTATCCATGGACTCCAACTCCATCATGGTGCTGCAGCCACCTCAGTGCAAGTACAGGTGCAAAGTTCTAAAAATGACTTCCAGCTCCCTCTCTGATAAAAGGGCAAGGGGTTGAAGCCAGGGGCTAGGGTAAGCACATTGACTAGTCTTTACAGCTTTTGGGGGCATTAGATGAAGCAAGGGGTGGATTCTCTTTCTGTGGCAAAATTCACAGCCAGGGAACAGCAGAAAACACTGGTCCCTGAATACGTGCACACACTTATATTATAGATAGCGCAAGTTATATAACTATATAACTTTGCATGCATACACACTTTTCAAAGCATATTAATGCAACAAGTGTCATATAGGGTGTGTGCATGTGCAAAGTGGCAAACATACAGCTAGGGACTGAAAATTAAACTCAGAGTACGCTAGCAAGAAAATCTAGTTCTTGGTTTCACTCTTCATGTTTCTTTGGTCTTGTATTTCGAATACAAGCAGTACAAAACCTGCAATGTAGTCTTCATATCTCTGTTCACAATATCTGTGGATACACAAGAAAGAAAGAAGCCTGCTGGGAAACATTAGAAATCCTTGAGATAGAGAGACTGCAAATGTCAAAGCATTGAAGGTAATCTTTCAATTTCTCCAAATTACAATCTAACTAAAGCAAGAACCAAAACAGGAAATGTAAAGCTATCAGATTTTCTTGATTTCTTAAATGAGTTAGGAGAAGAAAAAGGGTCCTTTACTACTTTACCACATTGGAATAAGGATCAGTAATATACAATAAGAAACAATTCTTCACTGGCAGACAGCAGAGCAGATAATTTAATAAGACTCGATAACTGTATTTTTTGTGATTCTATTATAATGTGACTAGTAGCAGACATTGCCTTAACTCTTCATTTCCTGGCTTTGTAGTGTTTGCATTTTGTTCTGGGGCGTGTATTTCCTGCTTTTTGAAGGTTGCAGTTTTCAGCTGCTAACTGCCATATTCTGAAAGTACATGAGGTACTGCTAAGCAACCTCAGCTCATGTTTGAAAAAGGGTTTTGCTAGTTAATACATCAATGTGTATGCAAACTACTACTGCTACGATGAGAGACGGGCTTGCTGCTCCTCTTAAAGTAATGTAAATGTATGGCTTTGTACGGAACATAGACCTGCAGTAGGCCAGATCTTCAGCTGGTGTAAACAGTGTAGTTCCATTAAACACCAACACTCATCAGCTGAGGATCTCTCCTACGTAGCTGTACATAAATGATACACAGATGTTGGAGTTTATATTTCCCACATTAATCAACTGTAGACATTATTTGAGGCAATCCTCCACATTTAGAGAAATGGATGTCCAATGCTTTTAACCCGCTCACAGAAAAGGGACACCCAGAGGCTTTCACAGATTTGGTTTTCCCAGTTTAACTAGAACGGTTCACTGAAATCCAAGTTCCATATATAGGGCATGAAGGCTCCAATTTTTCTCTGCATGCTCACAACTCACTCAAATTGACATTAATGACAGCTACCCATGAGTAGAGCTGGTTGGAAAAAAACATCCAAAACAAAATGTTAATGAAAAAAAATAACCAAAAATTTTAATAATTCCCACACCTTCCATTTTTTGATCGGCTCTACCCAGCAACGTAGGTACAGATAGATGACCTCTCCATATGCTGATATATACACATACCCCAATCTTGTTCATGAGTGGACTACCCAACTGGGAAAAGATGCCATTTTTAACACTGGAACAGCTTTCTGGGGAACATGGTAAAATGCCCATCACTTAACATCTTTAAATAAAGACTTGAGGTCTCTCTAAAATATATGCTCTAGTTCAACCAAACGTTATTGGGCTTGATTCAGGAATGATTGGGTGAAATTGAATGTGGTCTATGTGGTTTAGGAGCTTGGAGTAGATGATCGTAATGGTCCCTTCTGTCTCTAAAAATCTACTAATCCATTCACATCCTGATTTTGGCAACGAGGTCAACACACTTACTCCTATGTGGTAATTTCAGCAACTACTGATGTATCTTACATCATTTAATTCTTGGTTTAAATGGTGTTAACTTACCAAACAGTGGGTATTGTAACAACAGAACTTCTTTTTCTTTAGTGGAGACCAGATTGTTAAAATATGAGATATATACAGGAGATGTGTAGCAAAGGAAATGTTATGAAATATGCGGTTGTCATGTTGGAGGAGATTCTCTAGCTGATTATCCTAGCTTTTCATGAACCAGAGCAAGAATCATTCTCTTCCAGAACAATTACTATGTTATGACTCACCTTCAGCATTGACAGGAAAATCTAGAAGACCTCCATCTGTCAGCAAAGCCACTGCAAGGTTAACATTGTGAAGCTGTTGATCAGAAGAGATTAATGAAACAGAAAGTGAACTCTGGCCAAATATAGATAGTGCATGCCAGAGGCGTAGCAAGCACCCTCCGTACCCTCCGAACCGGGGGGGGGGGGGGGCCGCAAGGAAGGGGGCCCCTAAAAGTGGCAAAATAAATACCGCATTCCAGTTTCTGCATTGTAAGGGGCCCCGCCCAGACATATGTTCGGAGGGGGCCACCGTTCGGAGGGGGCCACGTTCTTTGTTGCTATGGCCCTGGTGCATGCTTTATTCCTTTGGTAGTTGAAATGGGAGTTAGCATTGCTGCACCAACATTTTTTTCATACTCTCTTTAGTTCTAGTGGAAAGCTTATGATCACTTCTATCAATTACCAAATCAGAAAAATAGAAACCAAATTTCCTTTAAAAATTATATGAGAAGGGATCAATTCATTTAAAATTTTTCTGAAAATCTTGCATTAATGAAAGCCCCCAAAATTAAAAGTTTGATAAAACATAGAGAAATTTTTAACATAAAATGAAATTTGCAGAAAGTATTCTATTTTTCATTTAAAATCCTAAAGGTTTGAATTTTTCTGAGCTGCTGTAAATGTGAACATTAGGGTAATGGTTTAACATACAAAGGTCTACATGCATACTAAATATTATTGATGATATCATCATGGATATCACACTTGAGATATTAAGGATCAAGTATTTTTCAATTCTTTTGTACTTCCTTTCTTGGCTGACTGCTTCTTCCCATCAGGAAAACAGCATTGCAAATGCATGAATTCATTCATAAGCGACTTTACAAAATGACAACAAAGCTGTTGATTTTTATTTATTTCCAGTTAAAATCCAGATCCCATTCCCCTCTTGATTTTAACATACTAAAGGCAAGTTGTCTATTTAGGTTCTGTCACAAGACTGTTCCTTTAATGAAGTAAGAACAACAACAACAAAAAATTGCTTCCTTAGCCATTCTACTTGCTACTGATCAGTTTTTCCTTCAGGAGGTACTGTGTACAGTTCAGGCATGCTGTGCTTTTTTATCTCCCCATGTTACACACTTACGTCCTACCATGCATAAGCTGAGCAAGAGCTATATTTAATTCTGAACTAAAGTGATACCTTTATGTTCCACCTGGTTTTGTGATTTACAGATAACAATGACTAAGAGTTTGAAACTAGGTTTAGATTCTTCTTCAAACCCATGGCAGACAAGGAAAATGCAAGGATTATATAGAGCTACAAACTGTTTACCCTGGGATTAATAAATAAAATGATTGCTTAATGAAGTCACCGAGTGAGGAGGGTCAGATGTTCCCCACAGCAAGTTCATGAGACTTCCACATAAAGGTAGAATGCTGATCTTTTATATAAATCTTAAGACACAGTACTGACATTTACTACTCATAGGCAAACTGGCTTGGATAAAGGGAGTACATTAATCTTTCTGCACTTCTAGATGGAACCAGAACCACTGGAATACTGTTCAGCATTTCCAGCCTGATAGGAAGTTGGAAATATGAGAAGTCTTGGATAAAAATTTATGCTAGTGGTTATAGACTCTTCTACCCTATGCCACTGGCTTGTCTTTGGTCCCCATCTCTTCCTCTCTATCATCTGACATGTCCTCTTTCCTCCCTGAACACAGAAGGGAGTTCATGTGCATGAAATGCAAGCTGGTGGCTGTGCTGGAAGAAAAGATTCTTGGATTGGAGGGGCAAGTAGAGATACTACTAAGAATCAGAGAAGCTGAGGAGGTCCTAAACAGCCCAATCCAGGAAACACCCCAGGTTCAAGGAAGAAGGGAGCTGGCCACCAAGGAATCAAAAAGAGAGGAAGCCTAGCAGTTTGTAACCACCAGAGGCAGAAGGTCATGGTCAAACTTCCTTGCAAAGAGGTCTCCAACTGTCCAAGGTAGATAGATTATTCTTGTTGGAGATTCATACTCAGAAGAATCAAAAGAACATTCTACAAGGGACAGGCAGACAACAGGACAGTGTGATGATTTCCTAAAGCCAAGAAATGAGACACCACTCTAAGACTGGATCGGCTTCTGAAGTTGACTATTGGTGATGATGCCTATTGGAACTAATGACACTGCTTTGTGGGATATTTTGCAGATAGTAGATGACTTTGGGGAACTTGGGAGTTCTGAAGAAAGAAGAAGAAGAAGAATGTCCAAGTGATCTCTGAGATTGTTCCTGTCCCATGAGTGAAAGAAGACAAACGGCAGAAGATTCTGGAGGTGAATTGCTAGCTAGGTAAGTGCTATAGGCTTTTGGTTTTGTGGAATATTGATCCACTTTCTATGAGGAGTGGGGATTATATAGTTTGCATGTCCTCCAACTCAGTAGTAGGGGAACCAATCACTTCATGGACAGGCTGGCTACAGTAATCAGGAGGGAGCTAAACTAATAGGGTAAAAAGAGGAAAGATATGAGCACTCAGCACAAATTTGAGATGTTGAAAACAAAATTCATCAAGGACACAAAGAGAAGAAATTATTGAATTGCCTATACACTAATGTTAGGAGCCTGAGTAATAAAGAAGAGGAATTGGAATTGTTCATTTATGAGCACAAATTCGATCTAGTTAGCATTACTGAAACATGGTGAGATGATTCTCACATCTGGAATGTTAAAATCAATGGTTATAACCTATTTAGGAAGGATCAAGTAGGGAAAAGGGGAGGAAGAGTGGCACTGTTTGTCAACAGTGGCATTACCTGTTTCTGAATCACTGATAACTTAGAAGAAAATTATCTTCAATGCTTACGGAGTAATGTCCTAACCAATAAAACACACAGATGGAATAACAGTTGGTGTCTGCTATAGACCACCAAATCAGTGTTAGGAACAGGATAACCACCTCCTTTGCACTTCTCTATAACGTGTAGGAAAATAAGCTGCATGATCATGAGGGACTTCAATCTGCGTGACATATGCTGGAGATCTCATGCTGCCAGTACTAAAACATCCCTGGAATTTCTAAACATTATAAATGACAATTTCCTAAAAAAAAAAAAGTGTTGCAGCCTACATAAGAAAATTCTTTATTAGACCTTCTCCTAACAGATAAAGAGGAACTGATCACAGAACTAAAAATTAGTGGTAGCTTAGGTACAAGCGATCATATACAGCTGGTTCTTTAATGGGGCCAATTTCACAAAGCTGAAAACAATCATCTAGAAGGAAGAATTTAATCAGAAAAATGTGGATGATAATTGGGAATCATTTAAGAAAATCTTACTAGATTCCCCAGAAGCCACAATCAAGGGACAAGCCTGTGTTGGTTAAAACAATGGCTTGGTTTAGAAGGGGCGGGGGGAGGAGGGGGGGAGAGAGAGAGTGTGTGTGTGTAAATAAAAACAAATGGAATAATGGGGAATCTGATAGTAATGAATATAAATCAGAAGTTGGGAATTGTAGAAAAATGATAACAGAAGCAAAGGGACACAGGAAAAAATATGGCCAGCAGAGTTAAGGACAATTAGAAGGGTTTTTAAAAATATATTAGAAACAAAAGAATCCTGACAATAGTATTGGTCCATTGCTAGATGGAACTGGTAGAATTATCAATAACAATGCAGAAAAGGCAGAAGTGGTCAATAAATATTTATAGTCTGTATTTGGGGGGAAAACAGATGATATAGTCTCTTCATATGGTGAAGATAACACTCTTTCCATTCCACTAATTTCTCTGGAGGATGTTAAACAGAAGCTACTAAAGTTAGACAATTTAAATCAGCAGGTCCAAATAACTTCCATCCAAGGATTTTAAAAGAGCTGGCTGAGTAGCTCGCTGGACCATTAATGTTGATTTTCAATAAGTCTTGGAGCACTGGGGAAGTTTTCAAAAAACTGGAAGAAAGCGAATGTTGTGCCAATTTTTAAAAAGGGTAAACAGAATGACCCCAGTAGTTATAGGCCTGTCAGCCTGACATGGATCTCAGTCAATATAATGGAGCAGCTGATATAGGACTCAATTAATAAAGAATTAAAGGAGGGTAAAGTAAAAGTAATGCAAATCAACATGGGTTTATGGAAAATAGATTAAATCAAACTCACTTGATATCTTTTTTTAGCTGAGGTTACAAGTTGGGTTGTTAAAGGTAATGATGTTGACATAGTATACTTAGACTTCTGTAAGGCATTTGACTTGGTATTGCATGACATTTTGATTAAAAAACTAGAATGATATAAAATTAACATGGCACACATTAAATGGATTAAAAACTGGCTAATCAATAGGTCTCAAAATGCAACTGTAAATGAGGAATCGTCATTGATGGATGTGTTTCCAGTGGGCTTGCCTGGATCGGTTCTTGGCCCTATGCTATTTAACATTTTTATCAATAACCTGGAAGAAAACATAAAATCATCATTGATAAAGTTTGCAGATGACACAAAAATGGGGGAGTGGTAAATATTGAACAGGACTGGTCACTCATTCAGAGCAAACTGGATCGCTTGGTAAACTGGTCACAAGGAAACAATATGTGTTTAATACTGCTAAATGTAAATGTATACATCTATGAGGAAAGAATGCAGGCCATGCTTACATGATGTGGGACTCTATCCTGGGAAGCGTGACTCTGAAAAAGATTTGAGGGCCATGATGGATAATCAGCTGAATATAAGCTCCCAGTGTGACACCATGTCCAAAAGAGCTACCGTAATGTGATCCTGGGATGCATAAACAGAGGAATCTCAAGTTGAGCAGAGAGATTATTTTACCTCTGTATTTGGCACTGGTGTGAACATTGCTGGAATACTGTGTCCAATTCTGGTGCAAACAATTTAAGAAGGATGTTGATAAATTGGAGAGGGTTGAATGACTAAAGGATTAGAAAATCTGTCTCGTAGTGATAGACTCAAAGAACTCGCTCTATTTAGCTCAACAAAGAGAAGGTTAAAGGAGACTTGATTACAGTCTATAAGTACCTACATGAGGAACAAATATTTAATAATGGAATTCTAAATCTAAACCCAATTTGATGGCTGGAAGTTGAAGCTAGACAAATTCAGAAATAAGACATAAATGTTTAACAATGAGGGAAATTAACCATTAGAACAATTTACCAAGGGTCATGGTGGATTCTCCATCATTGACAATTTTTAAATCAAGATTGGATATTTTTTCTAAAACCATGGTTTTCAACCTTCTTTATTTCCAGACCCCTAAAAAATGTTGAATGGAGGTGCAGACCCCTTTGGAAATCTTAGACCTAGTCTGCAGAATCCCAGGGGTCCATGGACCACAGATTGAAAACCATTGTTCTAAAAGATATACTCTAGGAATTATTTTGGGGAAGTTCTATGGCCTGTGTTATACAGGAGGTCAGACTAGATGATCAAAATGGTCCTTTCTGGCCTTGGAATCTACGAACCGCCCCTCATCCCAATTCCTGCTCCCTTTTCCCCTCCTCCTCTGCTCCTGCTCATCCTCTGGTCCCTGAATCCCTCCCCTTCTTCATCCCTCTGCATTCCCACTAGAGGGACCAGACGTCCCAATATTAGGGGCTTTGGCTTATATATACACCCCACACCCCCTGAATTTTTTTTTCACATTTACTATCTGGTCACCCTAATTCCCACTGTGGCTTCTTCCTCCTTTTCCTCCACACTACCTAGGCCCAGAAACTGAGAACATTGAGAGAACAAGATAGTCTCCCTGCTCTCACTTCCAGTGCCCAAGCCCATAATGTCCCCAACTACTGGAGAAGCAATTGAAGGGAAAGTCTTGTGCAGCCTTGCAGCTCAGGGCTTGGAGCATGCTTGGTTGCTTTGAGGGGATAGTACATGTGCAGTCCTGTCACACAGAGGAGGAGCGAGAGGATGGAGCATGCTCAGTGCAGACAATCTTCAGGGAATTTAGATGCCAAACTCAAACAACTCTCTATTGACCATGTGCCAACTGAAAGGCTTATAACTTGGCCAAATGTGGGCAGTTTTTCACAGGGGTGGCAAAAATCCTCACAAAAATCACCTCCTGCTTCAAAGAATGGAGGAGCTAGAACTTCTCAACAAATGGGTTGTGAAAAGGTTTTTAGTAAAACAACAAAGTTCCCCCTAACCTCGTTCTCAGAAATAGGTGAACTGTTTTAGCTGGGGGGAAAAATTCAGCCTGAGGTGGGTACCTTGCCTGGAAAAGTATAGCCCAAATAGTTGAAGTTTGGCAAAGTTATGATCAACTGAGAACAAGGTCTTATAATGGTATTTATGGGAAGTATCAAGGCAACCTTAACTATAGGTGGCCCTTCCAGTTCCACCTATAATAAAGGAAAGGGGGGGAAGGAATAGTGCCATCCTCTGACATCAAAGGGAGGGCAGTGAAGCAAGAGATCAGAGAGTGCACCACCCACTGATGCCACAGGATGAGCAGGAGGTAAGTGATAACTCCATCCACTGATGCCCTGCTGAGGAGATCTCTAAAGGTAAAGGTTCCACCCTATGTTGAGCAGGGTTCTGCCACCACCACCTTTGGTTTCTTTTGAGTTTACGTACATTCTAGATATATCCCAATATCGATTTTCCTTTATTTTTCAGTGTTTTTCCCCCTCACTAGCATCCACTCCAATTCCCTCTGCCCAAGATACACAGACTGTATCTACTGGCTTTGAACTATCAGCTTTCAACTTGAGTGAAAGACGATACACAATAATGATCCTGACGGTATGGCTGGTTGTCACCACTTTTATAACAGGAATGTCATGTTTTAAATCTCAGAGGAGTTCTGCAGTGAAGATTACATTGTCATGTTCTACTGTACCAATTAATGTCTAAAATGAAGGGGAGTTAGGGTACACAAGGGATTTAGGGGAAGTGTTTTAAAATGAAATAAAGTCTCTGAGCTACAGTAGTTAGATTTTTATATCACTCAGGATATAAGACAGGAAAAAAACTAAGTAAACAATGCTTTGACCGAAAGTAGTACCTGGGGTTAACTTTGCTAAAATGAAAGATCTTGAGATACAATCACAGCAAAGTGCTTCACACCCCCAATGGATTCCTCTCTGAGGGCAGTGTCCAATGGTTAGAGGCTAGGACTGGGAGTCAATAGTTCTGAATTCTAATACCAACTTTGGCACTGTCTTACTCTGCAATTTACTTCTGAAAAATGGAGGTATATATGTTCCTCACAAGAAAGTCGTTTAGACGTCATTAACTAATAGGGCTGGTCAAAAGAATAGGAATTCTTTTCTACAAAACTTTTTGAACAAACCAAAAACATGTTTGTTTTGTTCAAACTTCTTCATGGGTTTTACTGACTTTTTTTCTTCTAGAGTGATTTGAAAATAAAATGTTTTGTTTCCAATTTAATGGAATCAGAGCAAAAAAAAATAGTGGAGAAAGAAAAGGGAGAGGGCGACTGAAGTTGGAACACTTTCATTTTGATTCAATTCAAATTTATTTTTTCCCCAAATCTAATTAGCAGAGTTTTAAAACAGGGTCAGTATTTGACAGGCTGTGTGCATGAGGGCTCTCAGCTTTGCTAACAGAGGGTCAAGTGAATTGATGCTAGCAATAGGAGGAAACTTTTAGAAAAGTGACCTTGCCTACATGGGGCCTTAGCGATGGTACCATCAAGTTAGGATTGAGGTACATTTGTGGGACAATGTGAGGGAATCTTTGTGGCCCCTACCCTTGCTCTGTCACCTGTGTGGCTAAATGGAAGAAGCTGTTGGTCTAATATTGCATTCGCATTCCAACCCATGCAACACAGAGATGTTTATTTAAAGCATTTGGAATTCAATGCATTTGTCTGGTTAACAAATGCAAATAATGATCGCTTTCATTTTGTAGGATCATGGTAGATTTCAGTACAGACTTTGGGGCAGGGACTTTTTTTTTTAAATTAGATTATAACATGCTTAGAGCACTCTTGTGTGTTGTCTAAAGCTGCTATCCTGCAAATGCTTGTTCAGGCGATTAACTTTACACATTGAAATCGCAGAGACTACTAACAATGGGGCTAATCATGTGCAGAAAGTACATGGAAGGTGTTTGCAGGACCAGGGCTTAAGTAAATAAATAACCACCTACCATTTCCGTAGCACAATTTGGGTTCAGGAAGAACTCCCTTAAATTCAGGAAATACCCTCCAAGTTGTCCAATTAACAAAAGCAAGATAACTCCATCTGCAAACTATAAGAAGAATCACCTGAGTATTATTTATTAAATTGGCTTTTACCACAGCCAGGGAAAAAAAGATTCAAAGAGTTTTACTCAAAGAGATAAATGTTGTTCTATGGAAAGAAGAATTGAGAATATACAGTATAAATTATACAATCTAGTGACTTATTTCCTTAACTCCAATTTATACACAGAATGTCATTTCTATCTATCTAACGCTCATAAATTCCTATTACTGTAGTAGGAATGTACCACTGTGTGAAGGATAGCAATACAAATGAGCTTTTTGAAATGTCCCATGTTTGAACAGATTTCAAACAAAAATAAATATGTATCACTACATAAAAAGAAATTCCATCTAGGATTCATGATAGCAATCCCTTCAAAAGATCCATTCTCAGTAATTAATACTCCAGTCCCCAGCCATACAATGCAAGCTACTGGAATTATTATTGCGTCAAAGGTTTTAATGGTTGCAGTGAAGTGCCAGTTGTAGTCTAGATTTTCCCCACCCTTTCATATGCATGCCAAGAAGGAAAAGAGCACAAGGAACTTCCCCATCCCAATCTGCCTAGGGTTACCATACGTCCAGTTTTTCCCGGACATGTCCGGCTTTTCGGCACTCAAACCCCCGTCCGGGGGGAATTGCGAAAAAGCCGAACATGTCCGGGAAAATGCTGGCCGGGCACTTCCTCTCCCGCGGCTGCTCTGCTCCTCCCCTG